CCTGCTCCACACGCCCAGCCCTACGAGGGAGGGAGCCTGGAGACTGGCGTCTACAACAACAGCCGAAGTGACACCGTAGCACCATCGTGACGACCGAGTCTCGTGGCCACTCGCGTAGCCCCATCTGAATCACGGATGGGCACTTGATATTGCCGGTATGCCAGTGGAAGGGGGCGAGACCGCACGACGATGCACACCGGAGGTTGGCGGCCGAGCATTGTCAAGACTGTCCACGCAAGCAGCAGCGCAATGCCTTACACCCGTGACCAATCGTCTCCCCAAGTATAGCTGAACCACAACCACACCCGGACACCCGAACACCAGATGTGGCAAGGGGGGGCTGAGTCACCGTCGGCCTGCTCGGCTGGGGGGGGGGTCTTGGGGGTGGTTAAGCTGCCGCCTAGGACATCGCTTAGATGCGGATCGATCGAGCAGCCAGGTCTGGACAAGCCAACGGTGGACGCTATCTCCACAGATAACCGTCCATGAGATGCGAGTCTGCTTCTTTCGTGCTGGAACGGAAAGGGTCTGTCCTTGTCAAACCTGTCAAACCCTAGTGACGGGTCGGCGCCGCGGCCAATGCCAATGGAGTTGCCGTCACGCAGGTCCCCTTGGTCCCCTATTAAGGTGTGGCTGAGTGGCTTACCTCTGACCGACCATCCCCACAGTCCGGGGCTGCCATGGCCAATGAAAGCCGTGCCGCAGATTTTCCGCGTGTCCTCTCTGACCGGCTACCTCCCAAGATCTGCAAGCTCAGCGCCGCACGCCGTCGCCTTGCCCCAGACTTTTGCCAGAGTCTCGGAACTGCCCGACTCCACCAGCCCTGGAGCTTGGTCTGCTGTCGCACAAAGCGGCGGTTCTTCTCCCAAAAGCCCATCCGTGGGGGGCTAGGTGGGTAGCACAACTTTGTGCTCGCATCGCTCTTCCCTAGTGGGCTGGTTTCTACTTTGCCGTGTTCGTTTGTGCTGTGGCAGCCTGTTTGTCTAACTAATTGGGTTGGGCGGCCACCAGAGGAGGTGAATGTGCCTGTCGAGCTGTATGCTCGCGCCAAAGACGTCCAGGCCCCAAGCTGGTTGGATACCACTTGGTCATTCAGCTGCGCTACCCACAAGGCGGGAATGTTACATGGACCAGCTGAGGGATTGCGAGCATTGGAGCGAGTAGTGGCCGAAATGGGCTTGTCTAATTGCTGGATCGGGAATTCTCGCTGGGAATCTAACTAGCGGCGGGTCGGCAGGGCTGTGTCGATTACCACACGCTTGTATATGCCCACGCAGGTTTCCAAGGGGATCGGTTAAGGGTCTGACTGCATGGCAATGGTTCCTGGCCCAGATTGTGAAAGCCCCCAATATTCATGCGCTGCACATGACCCACGTGTCGGGCAGGCGCTGTAGCCAGCAGCCCTAGCCAGCCTGCTTGAACTAGATGGGCAGTTAAGTGCCATGCGATATAGGCGCACGTCGAGTTTTCGATCGTGGTGCCATACCAGCTCACGTCACGCGACACCGTGGGAGTGCGGCAGCACAAGCAGGCATAGTGGTCCGGCGGATACATTTCCCGTCCTTCGGCTCCTGCCAATGTCCAAGTTTGGATAGGTGTCGTTGTCCCAGCGGAAACCGAAGGATGCTGAACTTGGTGGAAGGACGGTACTAACTACTGGATACGCCCTATCGTAACTACTATAGGGCTCGAAACAGAGTTCGGGACGACCGATTAACGTTGGCCGGGGTGTAGATCAGCACAGCCCCGATTTTGGCGGAAGGCCCCACTGCTCCCGCAGGAACATGGCACCCGTCTAGAGCCGCCCAGGCTCCTGGGAGAAGCCACAATTCAATCCAATGCTGGTCACGTCTCGAACAGACACGAGCGGGTGCGGGAGGGGAGACTGGCCGGCAGTTCCGCGGACCCGGATGCTGATTGCATCAGTTGGTTGTTCACGTGGGGAAACGGTGATTCTGTTGAGTATGCATTCATCAGAGGGCCAGGAAAACCGTTGGGAGAGAGGCTGTAAACCTGGGTCAGCAGCGATAGACGGCCATTACCGTAGCCAAGTCTCGATGCGATGCGATGCGAAAAAATTCGGTCGAGACTCGGCTTCGACTGGCCAATGCCGCCCGAAGTCGGTCGCTTCACACCACTTCAGAACACTTGTGCGCATTTCGTTCCGGGGGTTTCTCGCAGTGTCTCACAGAATTTTTCAGCCGAGGCCTTGTCAAGATGCAACAAGGCTATCTACAGGACGTAAGCTGGCTCGCACTCGGCCCGTTGTGCGATGGCGCGCGCGTCTTAAGTCCGACGCAGAGGTGACACCACGCCGATATGCGAGGGCACTGGTGATGACTGAGAACTCTATTTTGCCGAAGACTCCAGAGCCCGGCCCTCGGTGTCGGGGCTGGCATAAGCGTGCAGCATGAACCGGCGGCCACGGAACGATGACTTGCTTTTCCTCCCCCATGGAATGTTACAACGAACCGGAGTTTAGGGCTGATACGGTTGCCTCTGTGTTTACTAAGCTAAAGCGACGAGCAGCCATCGTTCTCCTCGTTGTGTCTGGCCGATTAGTCATGGTCGATAAGGCGGCTGAGGGGACTGAGGCTGGCTCTGTGAGAGCTATGCGGCCGCTGACCGACCTCGGGGCTACGGGGTTACACGGGTGCCGGCGCACCGTAAACCGACAGGATTTTGTCGCAAGGCGGCTGTGACAATGGACCATGACCCCTTTGCAGTCGACCGAGGCGAGGGAAGATGTAGAAAAGGAGAGAAGAAAAATTCTCCCTGCACCTGCATTGCATCTCGGTAGCGAACCTGGAGTCAAAGGTCAATGCACTAACTAGAAACAGGCGCGGGGGGAGTAAGTATGACTCCACTATCGCCGGGCGCGCGCGTGTGGGATCGTAGGCTCGGGACAGCCGCCACTAGCCATCGGTAACGTGCCATGTCCGCCGCCCATAATAGAATAGAGTTCCTTCGCCAAGAGGGCATGAATGTATGTAAGCGACAGATTCCGAGGAGATATCTGTGTGTTAAGGATTAGTCAACACACAAGAAAGAAAGAAAGAAAGAGAGAGAGAAAGAACGAGACAGCATGTTGTTGGGCGCATACGAGAGCTGAAATCAAGAAGCAGCAAACGTTCCCGCTCCTCTTGTCGCTGGACTACGACGCCATGCGCTGCGATGTCGTGTAGCACGCCCATGTGACGAGCCAGCTCGTGTACAGTGGGTAACGTCAGCTGTCACGTTTACCTTTAGGCACTAAAAAGCTGATGCACGATATCCGCAGCCGCGTGTTGGACTTTTTGGGGGCTCTTTTCGATGGTGCCTGGCTCCTGTCAGGTACCTGCCCATGGGGGCAGCCTGCCTGGCTGGCAGCCCTACGACCTTTGGCCGGGGTCTACTACTAGGTTAGGTAGCAACTTTTGACTACCTCGAGGCGCTTAGTAGTCGTAGATGATGAATCACAGCGGGGGATAGTAGAGTCATCGGGCCACGGGTAACATTGTCACACATGGGCCGTGAAGCGAGACCTGGACTCAATCCCCAGCAACCCATTACCCAAAGGTGAATATGCTGTACCAGCGACTCTGGAGGGTGCAGTCCCGAGGTAACCACCGCAAGTACTTTCCAAAAGCGGCCAAGGGAGTCATAGGGCGAACTCAACCAACAGAGATGGGAGCTGACCAGGTCTGACAAAGCCAGCTGAATCACTCGCTGAGTTGGCATGAATTGCTGCTGGCCGGCTCGGTCTCGCTGCACACATCCAGACAGGCCTCGGCCTCGGGCAGCTAGTTGTGGCTTGCCCACTAGGTAGGGGCTTGCATATGTGGCAGTGCGCAGGGCAAGAATTTCATCCGATGCGCGTGGTTATGCAGAACGGTAGACCTACCCGTCGACTTCCGGTAGTGATCAGCCAGGGGACCTGGGGGCTTGGGGGGAAGAGCGGAAACAAGGCGCAAGAGCCAGAATAGTCACCCATGGACGGCTGGCTGTGGAATGCAGGAACGGACCGTCATTGGAGGCAGGCAGGGTAGTGTATAGACAGGTTTTTTTAGACCCTCAACGTGGGAATCAGCGTCCAGTGATGGATGGACAGATGGGGAACTACGAGTGCAGCGTACCGCGTAACCTAATTGGTAAGCCGGAATCACCAGGACGAGACCCCTCGGAATGGAAGCAAGCAAGCCTCAAGCCCCGTCTCTGCCAAATCGACGGGGAGTGCAGGGGTCCCAAGAGCAAAAACTGTTCGAGAACCCAGTTTTTAGCGTGCCAAGAGGCTTCTCTGAGCCTGAACATCGAAAAGGCCGCCGACCATTACGAAAGGTACGTACCGATGACCCGTCGCGCGGCATAGACGGCATACGTCACCGCAGCGCTGGCCTTTTGCTGGGGTGTATGCATGGCCTGCACACCATTACATCGACGTGCGCAAGGGTTCCATCGCAAGCGCCGATGGATCAAGAGGGAGTGGGAGGAGTGCAGAGACCCTGGAGGTAACTTATGCTGCAGCCCTCAATGGCACGGCCGATGAGAGAGTGTCTAGCTGGTATTTAACAGTCCTACGCCGCTCACTGCCGATCTGCATCATGCCATCATATCACCATATCAGAAACCCCATCATCAACACCACCAGCATACACGCCATACCACACGCCCAAACAGCCTATCCAGACGTACACAACAGCTGCCAGCAGGGAAGGAAACAAAGAAAAGTCGCTTCGTGGTCAATGGCTGAGCCGACCACATGACCTGCCGGCATTGAAAGAATTACAGCAAAGCCGAGTTTTATAAATCAGGTCGCTTACTAGAACCAACAAGGGTCTTCTCCTACCCGGGCCAAGTTAGCAGCCAGTATCCGGTTCGCTGGGACTGAGTATAATAAAGCTTTCCCCCTCGCCACCTCGGCCCCCAGGGCCCCACCTCTTCTATCCTCTTCCCTCTCACAAAACATATACTGCAACTCGACGACATCATCAATCGTCCTTGCAATCACACATCCACACAAGATGATTCTTACCCAGAACACATACTCGACAACACATCCTTTCTTTGTTCAGGGCAACAACACCGACAACTTGGACTCGGACAGCATCGCCTCGTCGCCGCACTCGACTCTGTCGCAGTACTCCAACAACTTCCACACCTCGACACCGCTGTCGGCGACCTTTGACGTACCGAGGAGGCCCAACATCAACATCAACAACAACAACAACAACACCAGCACCTTCAAGTTCCCGGCCTCGTCCCCGTACGACCCAAGCCAGAGCCTCAGCCAAGTGCCAGACCTGATGCCTTCCTCGTCCGAGTCGTGGTGGCTCCTCCAGAGCCAGCAGCAGCAGACGCCGAGGACGACGCTTCGCATGGGACACAACCGCGAGTCGTCTCTGTCGTCGCTGAACTCCAACGGGCCCGCGTCTCCATACAACGCAAACATGTCGAATCCGCAGATTGCCATCAACGACTCGGGCGATGCGTTCCACGACCTAAGTGGCGACGGCAACTACTCGTATCAATCGACCAAGCCCATGATGAGCGACAACTTCTATGCCACGCTGCAGAGCTTGACCAACCAGGGCAACGGTGCCCCGGACATGCAGTTCGCCGACGGCCTACCGAGCCTGTCGGCACCCCAGCCCAGACGGTTTGAGCGAGGCCTCCTGCCTGCTGCCGACGTGTCGTCGATTGGGTCGGCTACGAGATCCCATCCCGCGTCGGTGGCGAGTAGCACCATTGGTGGTGACTCACCTGCCACGCCATCGTTCCAAGAACCTGCCGAGGACGAGAACAGGAGGCGAAAGAATGGTGAGATGCCCGAACCCCCGACTGCACTACAACACTTCCTCGAGTTCCCGCCCGACGAAGATGACTTCTCTTGCTTACACTTTGACGCAGCGACGTTCAGCAACGGCAACGTTCCCAAGCTGGATCGCACCATGACCGACGTCTACAGCGACGAGCTATATAGCCCGCACTTTACCATCACGTCGGCGTCCCCACAGCCGCAGAACCAGATGGCCATGTCTCCGAGCAATACTATGTTTGCCGAGCGCCTGGCCCTGGCCAACAGCGCACACTTGAGCGCTGCGCAGTCCCCAGTATCGGGATCCTCGCGCAACAACTCGCCGTTCAGGCATGGGTCCCCGTTGGCGCCCGCTCTGAACGACTTTTCTCAGCAGACCCCTCAGATCCGACTCAACTCGGCCCAGCAAGTGCGCGAAAAGCAGAAGCTAGAGCGGGACGCCAAGGCCCTGCAGCAGCAGCTGGCCCGCAACAACCAGCAGCAGCAGCAACAGTCGCAGCAGCAAGGAACGCCCAGCACCATTTCCCCCAAGGACGCCATGCTGGAATTCAACGAAGCGGATGATGCCTCCAACTTCCCGCTGTTCCCCCCGCAGGAGACGGCCACCTTTGGCATGAACCAGATGAGTAAAGCAATGCCTCAACAGCAGCAACAGCAACATCATCAGCCGGCAGCACAGAACTTCCAGACGACGAGAACGCCGCTGCAGACGGCCTTTGACTTCAGCATGCCCACGGGCATCCAGATGCCGCAGCAATATCCGTTCGTGGCTCGCCCACGCCAGCAGCAGGTCACGCCCTCGGTGTCGACCTTCTCGAGGATGAGCTCGGCAGAGACCAACGGGTCGACGGGCAGCGACGTCTCGGTCCAGAGGCCAGCAAGGACAAATGCCGACGGCGGGACATACACATGCACATACCACGGCTGTACGCAGCGCTTCGAGACGCCTCAACTGTTGCAGAAGCACAAGCGGGAAGGTCACCGCCAGGCGAACACGCTCACTACGGCACGGACCCCAGTTACACCCAACCCGGCCATGCCCGAGACATTGCTGGGCAGCCAGGCGGGCCCTCACCGGTGCGACAGAATCAACCCGAGCACTGGCAAGCCCTGTAACACGGTCTTCTCGCGGCCCTACGACCTCACCCGCCACGAGGACACGATCCACAACGCACGCAAGAAGAAGGTCCGCTGCAACATGTGCACCGAGGAAAAGACATTCAGCCGCGCGGATGCGCTCACAAGACATTACCGCGTCTGCCACCCGGACGTTGAATTCCCCGGCAAGCACCGCCGCCGTGGTGGTTCGTGAACGACTAGAACAGAACGGCGCGGGCTCCAAGGTCATGACTGAGGTGTTTCCTCGATCTAGCGACCTGTCCTAAGCTCCCGAGCCCCCAAGCTGCTCCCGAGCCCCTCCCCTCCACCAAGCTATCGAGCTCTCTCCAGCACAGCGAACAGCAGTACTGTCTAGATTCTGCCGATCCATGCTGCCAAACGGGTCATGCAGACCTCAGCCATGGGAGCCATGGGACCCATTGGGTAGCGGGGGTGGGCAGTGGAGTCGGGCATAGCGGGCGGCAGGCCAGCCCCAAAAATTTCAGGGTCCAGTGCCATTCATGCAGGGTCTTGACCGGGGCCGCGGCGGCTTGACCCGCGCTAGCCCAGAACGGCAGAGATCGCCAGCCACTTTGGTCATGCCCCAATCAATTTGGCTTTGGGCGATCGCGCCCATGACGTCAGCCTCCTGCGATCCTGAATCGACCCCGACCACATCGACCCCCCCGGACGACATCATTGGCGACATCATAGCCCGAGCCCAACGCATCATTCTGGCACCCTCTGGCACCCTCTGGCGCCTTCTGGCACCCTATCCCCGGCTCCTCGAACCATCGCCGGCGCTCCTCTGCCACACACCGCACGCGCTGCAACGCACGATGATGCGCTGCATCGTCATATAGCCGGTGGTCAGAGACCGGACTACCGTCCGAGATACCCTTTCCGTCCTCGTTCGTCCCCTGGATCTCCTCAACAGTGTCTCGCATTGGAATCGAGTCGAGACAATTGGGCGGATCATAGCGGGCGATGTATGTGTACGACGCGAGCTTTCCTTCCATCATCCCCCCAGGCTCGGGGTTGTTTTCCTATGTCATCGAAAGCGCTCACACGATTCATGGGTATAGACATGGGGAGGCGCATGAGGGGATCAAAAGACTTTGGGATTGGTTCAGCGTCTGTTTTTTTTAGTCCACTTTAATGCTGTAATTCCTCTAATTCTCCTGTACAATGTTTCCTTTTTTTTTTATTCTTATTTTTTTCATGGACTGCTGCATATTGTGGTACACCACCATGCCCTGTGCTATTATACTAGTTGGGTTCAGGCAAGAGTTTAGACAAAACAACAAGCACGGCGAGGACACAACTAATGACGGTCAACGATGGGCAACGACATATATTGGATAGCAACCTAATGTACGATATGGACACACAATACAATTGGCCCAAGGCACAAATTGGAATCCCTGATATATGCAAATAGCCAATGAACGTGATACGTGTGACGAACCGATATGCGGGCTCCCCTCCAACAGCCCAGTTCACCCTGCAGCCCTTTCTCTGATGTGGGTGCATATTCCCGATATCCAGAAACGGTCTATGAGTGGGAGATTCAAAATACGACTACACATGCCGATGATCTCATGTTTCACACCTGGTATCAGGCTGCTTGGCTATTCTGCGAGTGCAAGCAGCCGGTATCGAGATGGAGGGACTGAGGGGCCAGCAAGTGCCGGGGACATGGTGCATGGAATGAGAAGACGACGAGCAAAACTCAGTATCGAAAGGGATCGGGTTCTCTTCCCACATTGGGCACCTTTGCCCGTCCTGACCCCTTTCGGCAGTCCCAAGGCCAGCCCGGCTGTATCTTTCCATACGCTCCCAGGGTCTGCCAGCCAGGTGCGATGCAACAGGAATACCACACGAATCATTCTGCAGCGAAGATCTTGTTCCCTTCTCGTCCCGACCATGCAAGCCATGCAAGCTCATATCTGATAGGGACCCTGTTTTTTTGCGGTCCCAAAGATAGAACCCCCCCTGCCCCCCAACCCCCGTTCTGGGCAGCGCACCGACCTCCTGGTCCGCCAGCAGACCATTGAATGTTAGTTGGCTGGCTGGGTGTGCTTATGTATTTTTTTTCTTCTTTGGGTTCCTTTGTCGTTCTTGTCCGTAAACCTCGGGCAGTCGAGATGGTGGTCGCTGGTCAGCATGGTGATGCAATGGGGGGCACACGGCAAGGATGTGATTCCAAGGATCCTGACACCTCGGCAAATCCGCGGGGGGGATGATGGAATGTTCCATCTTCCTTCCACCGTACCGCACCGCACCACACCATCCCTGAGCCCGCCTCGTCAATTCCAACAACAAAGATTGCATCTTGTGTATAACCGCCCCAAACCCGACGGCTGCAGCCGGGACTTCGTCATGAGGCGGTCCAAAACGAACGTGCCGAATCTTCGCCAGCCACACAGAGAGCCACATGTGCTGTCAGGTGAGAGCAAAGGGGAAAGATTCGCCACTGACGGATATAAGTTTGGAATACTCCCCCACAATTGACCAGCCCCTTCCCCTGGTACCTCCACCATTGATAGGCGATTGATGAGATCCAGGAGAGATCAGTGCATGCGATTATCTAGATTTGGCAATTGAACAAGTTACTGTGGCTATGTATGAATGCAACCGGGGGCATCGGAATTGAGTCCGCTTCCCCATTTGTTAACAGCCCCTCAGCTTTGCCCAGTTGGGGAGATTGAGGCGCAACCCCATTACTTGGTTTCCGTCATCTACCCTTGCCATGTCTTGATTTCTGTCAGGTGGCGAAACGTTCTTTTAGCAACGGGTCCCTGGCGGGGAAACCACGGTGTCCTGGGAAAAAAAAAATTAAAATAAAAAAGCCCATACAGGTTCCTTGTTCCTTGGTCGAGTTTGGCAGGACCCTGAATATCACGTCGGGGATCTCCATCGAGATGTGGGAACTGCCATGTTGCTCGTATCGACATTCGCCATGTGCTCCATCAAGTCCCATGCTGTCAAGTTTGTGTTACCGTAAAGCTAAGCGAGGTCCAACACAGCCTCACGGTTAGGTGCCATGGCTAAAGTTCTCCATCAATCAGCTCTGCAGGACCTCATGGAATCAGGTTCACAGCGGAACTAAGCAGCGAGGATACACATGTACCGGATATGTCCACGATCAGATTTTATGATGCTAAAAATATCTCTTAACTTTTTTAAACTCTGGGCCCATCTAACTTCCGGTAACCCAGCCACTTGGGCGCTTAGGTCATAGATATTCTCAAGCTGCCTCAGGTGTCTGCCATCTGGAACGCCTCCTAGTCGTCCAGGACAGCAGAGCGAACATCCGAGAACAGAGGGATGATGTCGGTCCAGAGTTGGAACTAGATGCAAGCAGTTAGAGAGAGAGAAGATAAAATTGGCTGGCAATAATGAAGCGTTGTCAGGAATCAACTTACCTGGTAGAAGCCTTGCGAGCAAAGCACCTCCAGTCCTGGCAGAGTCCTCCAGCCAGAGTCCTCCGCCATGCCCATCAACGGGGTGTGGCGAGGTTTGTAAGCCAGTTCCAGCAAGACACGGGGCACGCTGGAGTTCTTGGGCTGCCGCAGGACGGTCCCTAACAACTCCTTCATGGACGGGTCGATCGGCTTGTCCGCCGGGATCGTCGTAATGATGACCGTGGGCAGAACCTTGACGTGGCTGGCATCCTCGGGCCGCTCGAGGGCGTAGTCGCTGGGGAACGATGCCGCCAGCTCGCTCGCACCTGCGGCGTTGCGGGCCACGATGTAGATGGGGCTGTAACCCAACGAGTGCAGTGCGTAGATCGCAGCCCGGGTGGTCCCTCCTGATCCGACCACCATGGCGCTGCTGGGCTTCGACTTGGAGGCTGCGCCGACGCCCGCAGAGCGAAGCGTGTAGACCATGCCCATCCAGTCCGTGTTGGTGCCAACCAGGTGCGCCTTGCCGTCTGCCGTGGGTTTGGGAATGATGGTGTTGATGGCACCAATGACCTTTGCAGAGTCCGTGATCTCGTCCACGTACTGCATAATGTCCAGCTTCAGGGGTATCGTCACGGACGCGCCGCCAAAGTCCGGCGATCGAATGATCTCCCGGACCGTGGAGGCATCGTCCGTCTCATGCAGGTTGTACTTGTGCGGAAGGCCCGTCTGCTTGAAAAGGGCGTTGTGGAGGGCAGGCGACCGTGATGCCGAGATGGGCTTGCCAAAGAGATAGAAGTTCTTGGTCTCCATCTCACCCAGCAAGGCGAGTCCGCCCCGGATCTCAGCCGCCGAGAGTTGACCGGGCGCTGCCTTGAACGGCAGGGCAGGGTGGGACACGGGAGTCAGGAATCCGTTAAGTACGCGGGAAAGCTTGCCCATCGTCCCCATATTGAGGGCGATGATGGGCTTGTCGTACGCAGCAAGCATTCTATCCCGGAAGTTTTTGCAGGCAAAGTTGTCGTCCATAGTCTTGGCAACACCAATGAGCTTAATTACGTCGCCGTACTGCAGTGCTCGGTTGTACCACGTCTGGAAACCGCCATTCTTCCAGGATAACGAGCCGCTGGGGTCATGGTGCGATGCGATAATACGCGAACGGCCCTTGGACTGGATGATGGTTTCCAGAGTCTCTGATGACAGCGACATCTCCAGGTCGATGTACTCGACGCCCATGCGGAGCGCCGTTCGGTACAGGGGCAAAAGCTCCTTTTCTGATTGATATGTGAAGCGTCCACCTTGCTCCTTAGAACGGACGGTGAAAACGATTGGAACTTTAGCAGTGGACCGAAGGAGTGATATCTGGTTGCCAATGAATTCCGGCGATAGGTCCTGAAGCAAATCCACACGCAGCTCCACGGCATCCGACCCAACAACGACCCTGGGAAGAACGTCGATGGCAGCGGACAAGTTAGGCACAGTAAGTGAGACGAAGAATGATGACTTCTTCTTCTTGACCTCCTCAAAGTGATTGTTCTGCCCACAGATAAGTGACACAAAGTTCTTAAAATCAGCTGGAGCTTCGCTGATGCCGTCGAGGTAGGGACTATGATACTCGTAGTTGCTGCATTCCTGGAACCAGGGTTTGCGGCGTTCGTAAACTCCACGGATCTCCTCTGTATAGGCGGGTCTAGTCTTGTCCCGCATCAGGTATTCGACAATCTGGTCCTCGTCGCGGTTCACAAGAAGAACGACGCCACCGTTCTTGTGGTAGGAGATGAGGAGCTCGCGGGCTTCGGGGGTCTCGACGATGCCACCACCGCACGAAAATACGTGACCGTGCGCTTGGTTCTTCAGTACTTCCTTGAGAAGTTCCACTTCGTCCTTCCTGAAGCGTTCCCACCCATCGGGGCTGGCTCTGATGATCTCGGGTATGGTCATGCCAGCCCTCCGCTCGAGTTCCGAGTCGAGGTCAGTGAATGGCCGGCTCAGGATATTTGCCATCCAACCGCCCGTGGTGGTCTTGCCGGCGCCTCGCATGCCAATAATGAAGACAGAGGGGCCCTGGTCGGGCTTTCCTAGGTCCTTCGCTTCAGGTTCGGCATCAACGCCAACCAGGTCCACCTTGAAAGACTGTGCTAGGACGTCCCACCAGCCAGGCCAGGTCTTGCCAGTGCATTCTCGCTCCAGCACGACGACCGGGTTAGGTGACAGTACGGAGAGGACACTGAAGCTCATGGCCACGCGGTGATCATCGTAGCAGAAGACACCACCCTTCGGCTGGGTGAGCTCGGTGTAGTCCTTGCCGTTGATCTCGATACCATCATCGAGCTCGCCGCTCTGTACACCAAACTTGGCCAGCTGCACCCTCATAGCCGCTATGCGGTTACATTCCTTGACACGCTGGTTGGCAATGCCGGTGATTCGGGTGACGCCCGACGCGACTGCGGCAAGGACGGACGCAGTCAGGAAAGCATCCGTCATGGGCTCCATATCAACGTGCGGGATGCCCTGCAGACCTCCCGGTGCGGGGCCGGTCACGGTAGTGGAGTAGTCCGTCTGCTCTACCTTGCATCCCATGGGACGCAGCACATCGACAGCAAAACGGGCATCGCCCTGCAGCGACTTGGCACCGATGTTGGGGATTGTGCAGGTGGTTCCCGTGATGGCAGCGACTGCCAGAGGATAGGTAGCCGAGCTGGCGTCGCTCTCGACGACGTATTCCTCGGGGTTCACATAAGTTCCCTGCGGGATATGGTACGTGTGTGGCTCATCCGCTGACTGGGTTACGGTGATACCAAAGCTCTTCATCATTGCCGTCGTCATGTCGATATAAGGCTGTGAGATGGGTTTTCCTCCGACCAGCCGCAAGGTCACGGGCTTCTTGGCGTAGGGGGCGCACATGAGGATAGATGACACATACTGAGAGGAGACAGTGGCAGCCAGCTCAATGACGCCGCCCTCGAGGCCATCAGCTGCATCGACCTGGACAGGCAAGCTCTTCTCCTGGCCGAGGTAATCAATCTTGACGCCATTGGTGCGTAGAGCGTCCACCAGGGGCCCAATTGGGCGGACCTTCATTCTGGCATTGCCCGTCAAGACGGTGGAGTTGGTCTTGGAGGAGGGCGAGCATAGCGCAACGACGGAGGTCAGGAAACGCGAGGCGGTTCCCGCATTCCCAAGGTACAGAGGCTGCTCGCTAGCCTGCAGAGCACCGCCTTTGCCCGTAAGGACCAGCACCTCGCCGGCGTCTTCCCAGGCATAGGTAGCGCCGTTCAGCTGGGTGATGGCGTTGAGCATGAACTCGACGTCATCGGAGTGAAGCAGGTTCTTGATGCGGCACGTTCCCTTGCCAAGGGCGGCGAGGACGAGGGCGCGGTTCGAGACACTCTTGGAACCGGGGGGTGTGACCTGAACGTCGAGTCCCTTGGGCACACCTGGCTCGACACGGATGGCCGGGGAGAGGGCCACCCGGATGGCCTTGTCGTCGACGACGCTGGCCTTGGGCTCATGGGTCTTGCCGATGGCAGAGAGGAGGACAATCTTCTTCTTCTTGCCGTCATTCTTCTTGTCGACGCCCATCTTCTGCAGGAGCATGTCGACGGGACAGTGCTTCCCAGCAGTCAGCTTGACGATACGCTTGTCGTGCAGAGAGGTGGGCAGGTCGTAGCTCGCAATGCACTTGACCAGGCGCGCCACGGCGCTGGGCCGCAGGACACCTAGATAACGTGCCAGCTCGGCTTCCTTGACCATGCCAATGGCAACCGCCTCGCCGTGCAGGACCTGAGGGGTCAGGAGGGCCTCGATGGCATGGCCAATGGAGTGGCCAAAGTTCAGCAGGTTGCGCAGTCCACCCTCGGTCTCGTCCTGGGAGACCACGTCTGCCTTGACGCGGGCGGACCCGAGCACGATCCTCTTGAGGGCGGAGCGGATGGGAGCCAGTCTCGCCGAGGGGTCGGCGGACTTTGAGCGGATGGCCGCGAGGATGAGGCTGGCGTGCTGCTCCAGGAAGGTGAACTCGGCCTCGTCCCAGATGGCGGCGGTCTTGACCACCTCGGCCATGCCGTTGATGAACTCGCGAACGGGCAGGGTCTCGAGGAAGGCCAGGTCGATGTAGATGCGCCTGGGCTGCCAGAAGGCGCCGATCAGGTTCTTGCCCATGGGGGTGTCGATGGCCGTCTTGCCGCCGATGGAGGAGTCGACCATGGCCAGCAGCGTGGTAGGGACCTGGACGAAGCGGACACCGCGCATGAAGGTGGCGGCGACGTAGCCGATCATGTCCCCAATGACCCCGCCGCCCAGGGCGATGATGACGGTGTCTCTTGTGCATTGCTGAGCGAGCAGCCAGTCCTCGATCTCGGCCTTGGTCTCGCGGCCCTTGGAGGTCTCGCCGGGAGGGATGGCGTAGGTGACCAGGCGGCTGTCGCTGTTCCCCAGGGCTGCGGCAGCGCGCTGGAAGGCAGTCTCGAAGACGGGCACGTACCTGTCGCTGAGGTTGGTGTCGGTGATGAGCACGTAGGTGGAGGACTTGACATTCTCGAGAAGGTCGGCGGCGACAAAGGTCTGCCAGATGCCGTGGTCGACGATGATGGACTCGCTACCGAGGATGGAGATGCGCGTAGGGCCGGCGCCGGCGCCGGCGCCGGCGCCATTCACCTGCGAGGCCATGGCGGCAGGAATGTGGTGGGTGGTGGTGGTGGTGGCGGGTGGTGTTGTTGGGTTCTGCCGTCGATGGGGGCTTTTGCCTATGTGCGCCGACGGATTTGGCCCGGCATTGACACGCAGACGGAGGAGCTTAGACGCGACGAGCAAGTCGGCGGGGAGGTAAGGCAACTTGGGAGGGTTGGCGGATATCAATCAGGCGCGAGAAGCCACCAGCTGGGGACTGGGAGCGTCAGCAAGCCAATCTGACTGTGTTGTGTACGGTGCGGTACGGCACGGTACGTGAGTCACTCCCTGAGGTGCAGCAAAATGGAGGTTCTGGCCGAGTCGACGCCCAGACGACGCCGGTCTGCCGTCCACAGCAGGAACGCCCACGTTCACATGGATCAGGAGGTGGCACATACCTGCTCGAGGCTCAGCAGCAGTCCTGACGTTCTTTCTGCTTCGCAAATGCGGTGGACGGAATGGTCAACGGCGGTGCTGGTGACCCATGGGCTCTTTTTTTTTCTCCTGCTAGTACTGGGCTGATGCTACGAGTCAAAAAAATTGTAGGACCTGGGGCCGCTTTCGGGGCGACTCTCACACCTGCCGGACCTGCCGGGCAGCTAAGCTCAAGGCACCATTGACCAATCAGTTCAGTTCAAGCCCCCAGAGGCGGAACATTCGGGAAGCGGGGCCACCGCGGGGTCGGTGGTCGGTAGATAGTAGGCGGTAGGTGGTAGGCGGTAGGTGGTGCAACACCAGCAGCTTTGTATTGTCCTGCTTTGACTGTCCTCTCTTTCTTGTCTTGCTTGGTCAGTCGCTGCAGGTGGCGATTATGAGAAACAGCCAGGTAACCAGGCGTATACGGTTGCCGGATAGAACTACCAAACTGCCGTTCTACCCTGCTGGATCCGGGCTTTTTGGACCTGAGTGTGCATACGTGGGAGATTATGATATTCCCCGACTTCCAGGTTACCCTTTGGCTCGGACGGTTACCTAGGTACCTGGGGAGCAACAAGACTTCTACGGTAAAAATGGGAATCAAAGCCCAACTCGTTATACTCTCTTGCCCACCCAAATGAAAAAGTCAAATAAAACAAACCTGGCATCCCGTTGGTCAAGGGCGATCAGCAAGCTGCATACTCCTGACATTGTGCATACATACTATACTGTAGTCCGTACATTCGCGCCCCAATGGCAATATCCGCTCGCATCGCTGCAGTGCTGTAGCTACACCATACAACGGCCCATGTCATGACGGGACGTTCCCCGAGATGGATCCCACACTGCCTCGCGTACCTATCTAATCTCATCAGCCAGGCCCTGGGGGCTTAATAATCCATCGCCGTTCACGGCTCCAAATTTCTCCCATGGGCACGGGTAACCCTCGCTCCAAGCTAGTTGGAAGATGACCTTCCCTCCAAGTTACAATCTTTCCTCCGGACGCATGCGAGTTTTTTCTTCGTGGGGTTAACTTACATATGTTGATCGAATGAGCGTAGCTGCCCCGCCTCACCACTGGGCCACTGGGCTCCTGCGCATCAACTTTTTGAAAGCCCCTAGATATACTCCGTACCAGCAGTAAGCGATAGGCCCTGCGTCTCGCCAATTAGAGTTGGGGCAGAGGCTGCACGACCCGGTTGAGGCTGGGAAAGGGAACCATGGCGGAAAAGCAAATCGTCACCAGCGAGGACAACCCCCCAACCAGTCGGGGGAAGCCCGAGGGCGGCGCACACGCCGCTCCCGGTTCAGACGAGCAACGCCAGTACGAGCCTCTCCGCAACCCGGCTCGGCCATCGCCGCTGTCGAGGCCCGGGTCGGCAACGTCCAGCTCCATACGGCGCATGCGGTCCAACAATGGCCACGGATGCGATGACTTGGAACCCGGCACCGACGAGTCCGACACAACCGCCCAAGGTGACGCGGCCGCTGACAAGGACCCCTTTGAAGTCGCTTGGGACGGCGATGACGACCCCTTGTGCCCACGTAGCATGTCGTTGCTGCACAAATGGGCCATCGTCATGATTGTCGGATTGGGAAGCCTCTGCGTGTAAGTCGACATGCCAGCAACGACTACAGACCTGCATCCGTGGGGGCTTGGCAGCTGATCCCAGACCCAGGACCTGCGCGAGCTCTATATACACCTTTACGTACGAGCAGATGGACCCCGAGTTTGGCATCTCGAGGATAGTCGCCACTCTCGGTCTTTCAACATTCGTCCTCGGAAGTATGTTTTCACGTGGCGTTCCAGCCATGTCGATATCTCGGATGAGCCGTCCCCGAATGCTGACGTTGGATATTCAGTCGCTCTCGGGCCCCTCCTCATGAGTCCACTTAGTGAGTTCTATGGCAGGCGTCCAATCTACCTGGTCTCTTGGTGGGTATTTCCCTGTAGCATATCGCACATGGCTTCTGACGTCGAGACAACCACAGGGCCATGTTTTTGATCTGGATCATCCCCTCTGCCGTGGCTCAGAATGCCGAGACAATGCTTGTGGTAAGTCACGACGGTAGGGACCCTGAGTGGACTCTGCTGATTCGGATGGCCCAACCAGGCTCGATTCTTTGATGGGTTTGCCGGCAGTTCATTTCTCAGTGTTGCGGGCGGAACCGTCAGTGACATATTCCGGCGAGATGCCATCCAGGCCCCGATGAGCATTATCTCGCTGAGCCCGCTTATCGGTGCGTGCTGCTCCTGTGACACTCGTGTGCTGCGCCGACTGACTTTGCCGATCCAGGCCCGAGCCTAGGGCCCCTGCTGGGTGGCTTCATCAATTCAAATACCAACTGGCGATGGACGTATTACGTTAGTGTTGCCACGGATTCAACTGGAAGTATCGACATCTGACCGTGGCTGGAACAGTTTCTCATCATGTGGTCGGTCGTGATGCTGGTGTGCATCGTACTATTCGCACCAGAGACATATCGTAAGTTGGGATCACACATGTCCCGCGTGCTGCACTTACACAAGGCAACAGACCCCATCAAGCTGCGGGACAAGGCGCGCAGGCTCCGGGAGGAAACCGGGGACGACCGGTGGAAAGCACCGATGGAGAAGATGGAGAAATCCATCCCCAGGACGGTCGGCTACTCTCTACTGCGGCCGTTCCAGCTGTTGGCATTCGAGCCAATGTGCCTCTTCCTCGATCTCTTCGCGGCCATTCTGCTGGGGATCCTGTACCTGTTCTTCGGGGCGTTTGGCGTGGTATTCGGGGACGTGTACGGATTCAACCTGTGGCAGACGGGCCTGTCCTTCCTGGGCATCTTCTTCGGGATGATCATGGCATCGGCCAGCACCCCGATCTGGCGCCGTGTTCATGGCCGGCTCGTGGCAGAGAATGGTGGGCGCTCGGAGCCCGAGTACCAGCTCCCCTCGGGAATCGCGGGAGCCGTGCTTGTGACGGCCGGTCTCTTCATGTTTGCGTGGACTGCATACCCGTGGGTACACTGGATCGTCCCGATCATAGGGTCAGGAATATTTGGCTTGGGGTAGGTTCCGTGACTTGGGTCCTTATTTACAACCTCCTCTCCCCCAACCTCTTGCCACCACCAGACACACTGACATGTGCTGCTCTAGGGCGCTCCTCGTCTTTACTAGTATCTTTACGTTCTTAGTTGATGCTTACCCCCGATACGCCGCATCTGCCCTGGGAGCGAACGCCTTTACCCGATGCGCATTTGCAGGTGAGTACCGGCTGCGAAGCCTCCTCCGTGCTTGGACGAGGTGTCTCTAGCTGACGAATTGTACACAGCGGCCTTTCCGCTGTTTGGCTTACAGATGTACCACAAGCTGGGGCACCAGTGGGCATCAAGTCTGCTTGCGTTTTTGACGCTAGCCATGTTGCCGTTCCCGTACCTCTTCTTCCGCTACGGGAAACGACTGAGGAAGAATAGCAGATTTGCTAGCTAACCGACTTCGACTATAGAACAAGTCCCCTTTGTCCCAAGCGGCAGCTGTGTTCTGTCTGCCAGTGGAAACTTGAAACCGGACGCTATATCTCGACATGTACACCGCTCTCCCACACAGGTATAGTAAAATAAGAAGTCAAACCAGGCCCAGCCCAAGTCAGAGCGGCTTGTACTACGCAAACACCGGGTTGAGCAACCACATCTGTAGTGCCAAGTCCCGAGGCTGGAACGCTGAAACGCCAAACGCAGCCCCCAAATGCTAGAGACTGAGTTATGTAGTTAGTAGTTGGGGGGCGAGGCAGGATGATGCGTATTTGACGAACACAAAGCGATGGATGGAATGCAAGTCACTCAAGCTGGGTCAGCAGTCTGGCCGCGAAGAGAAGATACTCGAGGGATGGCGCCCGTGTGAAACACGACTAAGGACATGAACATGCCTGTGCACAACAACTACCACCTACGAGCCCGCGGTGGGTTGTGCTTCGGCCGAGAAGACAACACTGCAGTGCCGACTGGCACAATTTGCAAGCGGGGAGAGCCCCTGCTTGTTGCTCTTGTTGCTCCGAACTGTTAGGCAAGAATCCCACTGCTTGTGTACCTACCTAATGTATGTACTGTGCACAGTATGCACGCCTTGGTCAACCAAGTTGACGATCGGCCGGCAGTGGACCACAATAGGTGATGAGGAGGATGACGAGGACGAGCGCTCTAAAAGAGTGGCTGGATGCACCGCCCCCTTGTCCTTGGTAGGGGGGGCAGTGGAGATCTCCGAGTGAGGCCTCTCGACTCCCACGACACCAACGACGATGACAGTGACAGCTATCTGAGCCGTGTGGATGATAGAACGGCTTCAGGGCTCCTGCTGAAGAGTGAACACTTGGTGGTGTGTAAAGTAACTTAGGAGACAGACTCGAGTACTGTCTATCTAAGCAAGGGAGGCATGGCGCTGAGTCACAGTTGACAACTCAAACATACATTTACATGACTTTGCATGACTACCTACACTCATCCGTTGACTTTTGGACCCGTCGTGTCGACACATACCTAGGTACCTTGGGTAGTGACCCCACACAATAGGTAAAAGTATGTAACATAGCCACCACATGCAGTGCGGGAACACGCGTTCGGCCAGGTTGTCAAGGGGCTTTGTCAAGCCAGCGGGCCAGCCCAGCGAAGTTCGAGGTCATAGCCCACTAAATTTAGCAACCCCCGGGGGGCACGGCAGACGCTGGGACGCGCCGGGACACGCTGGGTAGCGCTGGGACACGCTGGGAGGATGCTGGGACGCTCGCCTAGGGTCCCCAATTATGTGGGCAGAGCGTGCGTCCCGGCACGACGACGGTCTGTCGTTGGCCGAATTTTCCTTGCCCAACCCCCAAGATCCCATCCCATCCATCACCCTTTGACCCTGTCACCTCGAGGTTGTGTCTGTCTTCTTTCCCGCCTCCGTCAAGTCAACCAAGGTTTCAACTACCGTCCACACCACACACCACTCCAATCACGACGACAAAAGTAAACAACCGTGTTGTTGATTCCAAAAGACGCTCGTTTCCGTTTTGTCCCTTTAGACTCGGTCGAGCCTGTGTCTTGCTCATCTCATTTCTCTTTTTTTGAATCCTTGTTTCTTTCGCTTCGGTCGGAAAGCCAGGGCTCGCTCTGACTGGGCCCAAATCTGCCAAGCGCCTCATCATCTGCAGCGGCACCTGGAACTGGAACTGGAACTGGAATCTGAACCCGACCCTGAACTGAACTCGAACCCTGAGCCAGGACCCCCAGGGGCACGCCAGAGAGAGCTGAAGAACGAACACCTTGACTGGCATTGCATACATACGTACACATTCATACCCAGGTAGTTTACCCTCGAGAAAATCAGCCCCAGTCCCGTGTTGCAGTACGAGGTCATCTTCTTTCAGCAGGCGAACCTGTCCTCGAATTGCGAAACACGACACCCCTCGCCCACCCGCGCCTCTAGCATCTCCAGCACCTCTCTCCAGCGTCTCCGGGAGCAGCAGCAGTAGCCCGCGGTCGACAGCTGGGCCAGCACACATTGACTATTGGCAACTCCCACCTCTCCGTTCCTGTCGGCTGTCCACCCCCGTCGTATTCCGGCAGAGAAGCGCTGTCGTTGCCGGGGCAGAGTAGATAAGAGAGTATAGTCGTGATTGCGGCAGAGCAAGAAGAACAGGCCGGCGAAAACCCACTGAGGCAGGTGGTATATCCCGTGTGCTATCATGGCGGCAAACGATTACTACAATACCCGGCCCTCGCAGCCCTCCTACCACAACAACTACGACGGCGAAAATCACGGCATCGACCGACAGGCGACAGTCTCACCCTCGATATACCCGCCCTCGTACGCGACCGAGGCCCCGAATCAGAACTACCAGAGCCAACAGAGCCACCCGGACAGGACCAACACCGTGTCGCCCTTCTCCACTCCCTTTGATGATCACATCTACCCGGCCCATTCCCACAGTACGGCCGACGCCATGAGCAGCCAGCACACCTTCGCCCAGGACACGCGCTACCACAGTCCCGCCCCGGGTAATGTGTCCCCCGTCGGCGACGACATCCCCCTGCGCCACCACCCGGACAGCAGCCCCAAGGTCGGCGCTGGCGGCTTCGCCATGGACTCGACCGACCACGTCTACGACGCCCCAGCCGGCGCCGGCGCCGCGACCGCCCACGGGCCCGGCCAGTCGACCCGCGGCCGAGGCGGCGTGCGCTTTGGCGAGCTGGGCATGTTGGGCGCTGGCAAGCGCCGGATCCCCATCTTCGTCTACCTCTTCTCCGTCATCCAGATCGCCGTCTTCATCGGCGAGCTGGTCAAGGCCGCCCAGCTGACCGGCAGCCCCATCCAGACCTCGCCCTTCAACCCCATGATCGGCCCCTCGGCCTACGTCGCCATCAACATGGGCTCCCGCTATGTCATCTGCATGCATCGCGTCTCCACCGTCACCGACCACAATGGCAACATCAGCTGGCCCTGCCCCTGGAGCACCACCACTGACTCCAACTCGCCCGACAACAAGTGCACCCTGTCCCAGCTGTGCGGCTTCGGCAGCGTCCCCGAGCCTCCCACGGCCAACGCCACCGTGCCCTTCGACCAGGCCGCCTTCCCCAACCAGTGGTGGCGTTTCATCACCCCCATCTTCCTCCACGCCGGCCTCATCCACATCGGCTTCAACCTGCTGCTGCAGCTGACCCTCGGCAAGGAGATCGAGAGAGCCATCGGCTCCATCCGCTTCTTCCTTGTCTACATGAGCTCCGGCATCTTCGGCTTCGTCATGGGAGGCAACTTTGCTGCAAGCGGAATCTCCTCCACCGGCGCCTCTGGCGCCCTCTTTGGCATCATCGCCCTGACTCTCATCGACCTCCTGTACTCGTGGAAGGACAGACGCAACCCCGTCAGGGAGCTCATGTTCATCTTGCTTGAGGTCGTCATCTCCTTCGTCCTTGGCCTGCTGCCCGGCCTTGACAACTTTTCCCACATTGGAGGCTTCTTGATGGGCCTCTGCCTCGGCATCTGTGTGCTCCACTCCCCCAATATCCTCCGCGAAAAGATTGGCGAGGATCATTTCGGCGGCCCGGCTTATTCGAGCGTCGATGGCCGCAACAATGGCATCAAGAGTGCCGCTTTCCCACCATTCCTGCGTAACCCTGTCGGCTTCTTCAAGGGCAGAAAGGGCCTGTGGTGGGCTTGGTGGCTTGTCCGAGCCGGCTTCCTTGTCGGCATCATCGTTGTTTTCATCGTTCTGATTGATAACTTTTATAAGTATAATAACACTTGCTCCTGGTGCAAGTACCTGAGTTGCTTGGTACGTATTCCCGCCATTCTTATAGATGGTCGCTCGTCATATAGATAAGTGCACTAACTGTGAACGCAGCCTGTAAGCAATTGGTGTGAACAAGGAAACCCGTTCACGTCTTAAATAACATTTTTATATAAAATATAAATATAATAAATAATAAATATAAAAATAAACTTACCTTTTTATTTTTTTAAAAAAAAATATATAATTAATAATATATTATTATATTTATAAATATATTAAATATATTTATAATAATAATATTTTATATTTACGTTTAATTTAATTTAATTATAATTAATTTTAAATAATAAAAAATAATAAAAAACTTTTATAATATAAAAATATTAATTATTTAAATAATTATTTAATTTTAATTTTATAATATTATTAAAAAAAACCTTTATATATATTTATAATATTTATTATTGAAAAATAAAATAAATTATTTATAATAATTAAATTATTATTAAATTTAAATTAAAAAATATAATATTAAAGTTATATTTTTAAAATTTTATTTTAAATATATTATTTATAAAAAAATAGTAAATTAAAATTATAAATTTAATTATATTTTAATTTATATTTAAAAATTGTTTAATATTATTTAACGTTATTTTAAAAAAATATTAATTATATTATTAAAAACTTAAATTTTATAAATTTAAAAATATTATTTTATTATTTATATAAATTATTTATTTTTAAATAATATATAATTTTATAATTATTTATAATATAATAAACTTATTTTATATTTTATAATTTTAAAGGTTAAAAGTATTATATAATTAATATATAAATTATAAAATTATAAAAGTAATATATAAAAAATTTATTTTATTAATTTTTAAAAAAAGTAAAATTAATTTTAAATAGTTTATTTTTATTTTTATTATATTTACGATAGATTATTTTAATACACTTTTAAATATACGTATTATAAATATTTTAATATATTTAATAAATATAATATTTAATTTATAATTTTAATTTACCGTTTTTTTAAAAATAAATAAATAAATTTAAATTAATTATTAAAAAGTTATTATTAAAAACTTTATTTTTAAATATTTTAAATTATTAAAATATAAATATAAATCGTTTTTATTTTTTATTTATTATTTATTATTTTTTATTAAAAGTAATTAAATAAAATAATAAATAAATAAATAAATATAATAAAAAGTTTTTTTAATAATTATTATATTATATTATTTAAATTAAATTAAATTAAAAAAATTTATATTACTTTTTAATAATAAATTATTTTAATTAAAATTATAAATTTAATATTAAATATTTAATATTAAATTAAATTAAATATTTATTTAATTTATAAACATTAATATTAAAATTTTAAATATTATTATTAAAATTTTAAATATTATTATTAAATTTTTAAACATTTATTAATACTAAATTACCGGGTTATAAAATTAGTATTAAGTATTTAATATTAAATTAAGTATTTATTTAATTTATAAATATTAATATTAAAATTTTAAATATTTATTAAGTTTAAATTAATATAAATATCCGATTTTAAAATACTTAACGATATTTATAAGTATTTAAATATTACTTATTATATTTAAAGATTTTTAAATAGTTTTTAATAATATAAAATACCTTTAATTTTTAAATTTAGAAAATATAAATTAAACTTATTATAATATAAATAATTAAAAAGTTATTAATTATTTTAAAGTGGGCGATTTATATAAATAGTAAAGTAATAATTTTTAAAATCGTAAAACTTTAATTATTAATGAATTAGTTAATATAATTCTTTTTAAATAGGTTTTAATAATATAAATTACCTTTTATATTTAAATTTATAAAATACAAATTAAATATTTAATAAATAAATAAATTAATTAATTATAATTAATTTATAAAATATTAAAAATAAATAAAATAAATATAAAAATAAAATAATAAATATAATAATAAATATATAATAAAAGGATAAGTAAATTAAAATTAAATTAAAAAGGTAGGATATCGTAAATATAAAAAAACCGTATAATAAATTGTAAAAAATTGATTTTAAATTATCGGATTTAAAAAAATTTAAATCCATTTATAAAATAAATATCGTAAATTTCAAGTTTTACCCTTTATTTTAAAACCGGTATAAATAATACACGGTATTTAAAAATAACTAATTAAATTTATTATATTAATTTATTGGGTTTTAAATCCGGTTTTAAGTTTTTTAAATTTTGTTTTATAATTATAAATTAAGTTTACTTTTAAATCACGGTAATATTTATTTTTTTTACTTTATTTTTATTTAATTCTTTAAATATCTATTAATGTTTAAATTTATTAATATTTAATAGTATTAAAGGTTGTAAAATAAATAATAATTTTTAATTATAAATTTAAATATAATTAAATTTATAAATTTAAATATAATTTACTATTTTTTATAAATAAATAAATTTAATTTGATTTTAATTTAAACCTTTAATAAATTGAATATAAATTATAAATAATAATTTATATTTAAATAAATCAATTTATTTAAAATAAAAAAAAACTAAATAATTAAAATCAAGTTTAAAAAATAAAAAAAAATTATAAAATTTATTTTTATTTATTTAAATTAATCAGATTTAATAGTAAATTAACCGTTTTTAAAAACAAATAAAATAATTATTAATATTATAATAAACTTAATTTAAATGAATTATTTATAATTTAATTTAATATTTATTAATCTTAATTTATAAAGTTTAAATGTAATTGAATTAAATAATAAATTAATTAATTTAATTTAAGGTTTTTTATAATTAATTAATTTAAAAATTAAATTAAATTTAATTAATTTAAATTAAAATTAAATGAGTATAAATCAAATTAAATCAATCACAACTTTAATAGTATTACTCGAGATAATACACGAAATAACGATACTTTTTTTAAAAAGTCTTTTATAATAAATTTTATAATTTATTACGATTACATTTTTTAAAAGATATACGTTATATTTCCTCACATTATTAATATTATAATTTAAAATATATTTAAATAATATATTTTAACCGATTCGAAAGAGAATACGATTAATTAACAATGTTAATTTAATGGTTTTTAATTTAAATGTTACGGATTTAATTTCAATTATTAAAAATACGGATTTTTTAAGTAAATAAAATTATTTATATTATTTTAAATTAATTTTTAATTAATATATAATTAAATTTAATTAATTCAGTTCGAAGAATTATAATATTAATTAAATATATTTATTACGGGTTGGTTAATATAAGTGGTTGTTATAATGGGGGACGAGGGGTGATCCACCTCACTTATAAATAGCAAACGCCACAGTTATAAAGAGAGCTCTTCTTTCCTTTCCTCTCTAACTTTAAATTTTTCGTAATACTACAAGATTTACAACACAGCCTCGATCCTCCCTGTGGTGCCGTGATAATACTCGTGAAATTAAAAGTTTATTAATAAATAATATTATTAAAATTTTAAACGGTATGTTTTATATATTTTTTATTTAATTATTTATTTAATTATTTAATTATATTAACGTTAAAATATTTAAATTCTTATATTCGTTAAAATTCAACGTATAAAATGATTAAAATTATTTTAAAATTAAAACAACCGTTATTTTATATAAATCGAAATACTAACCACTATAAATTTTAAAAGATGTCTTTTTTTCCCGACGTTAATTAATTTTTATTAATTAAATTAAAATGAATATTCGAAGTATTTATTAAACCCTTTATTAAATTATAAAAAAAAGTTTATACCACTTTATTTAAAGGTTTATTATATATTTATTAAATATATAATAAATTAAAAGATATACGGTTAAATTACCGTGAATAAATTCAAAATTATTTAACTTAAATAAATAATTTTATTTTTAATAAATCTTTATATATTAATATTAATTTTTAATTATAAAATCCATTATTATTTCCTTTAATTAATATAATTAAAAATGGAGTTAAAAAACTAAACGATTATTTCCTTTTAAAATTAAAAAGGGATAATATTTAAAAATATAAATTATACTTTTTAAGTTTAATTTTGGATCCACGATTTAAATTTTCACAATTTAAAAATAATCGTTTATTATTTTATTATAAAGGTATTTATAACCATGTTAAATCTTTATTTAAAAGGGAATTTAATAAGTAAATTAATTTAATTTATTAATTATTAATTATTTATTATTAATTATTTTATTAATTAATTAATAGAATTAAATCGGAAATGAATAACGATTTATTTACGGGATCTTTTAACGAATTACACGATGAAGACTAAGTCCCGGAGAGTTTACCGGAACCCGATTTTAACGATGAATTATTTCCAAATCGAGAATTAATTTAAATATAATATAAAATTAAATTTTATATAATAAAACCTGTTATTTTTTAAAAAGTAAGTAAATTAATTAATTAATTAAGTAATTAATATATTAATAAGTTTATAAAAAGATTTATTAAATTATTAAAAAAATAATCGATTAAAATATCTAATTTTAAATATAATAATTTAAAGATATTTATAAATCCTTACCATTTTAACTTTTTTAAAACGGACCTTTTTTATTTTTAATTATATTATAACTAAATCGAGGAATAGCCTTTTACTAAAAACGGTAAAACAATTAACGTTATTAAAAAACTGGGAATCAAAATCGATATAAAATATTTAAAAACGATATAATAAAGAAAATCGGTTATTTAATAACGATAAAGAAAATTAATTAAAAAGGTTATTTTAAAAGGTTATTATTTATTTAAATTTAATAAATAAATTTATAATAATTTTTAATATTTATATTTATAAACCTTAATTTTATAATATAAATTATATTATATTTAATAAGTAATATATATAAACTTATATTAATTTAATTAAATAATTTGAATTATTTATAAATTAATTTATTATTCATTGATTTTGATTTAATTTTTTAAGAGTAATTAATTTAAATAATAAATTAATGAACTTAATTTAAGATTTTTAAAAATCAATTGATTTAAATTAAAATCAAATGAATATCA